GGGGTCGTTCCTAGTGAATGGCATTTCAGCCACAATATTGTTTGATTTGGGGGCTACCCGATCATTCGTCTCACTTGCGCTCAGCAAGAGGTTTAGCAGACCTCCAGGGGAGCTGGATTGTCCACTTGAGGTCGAGATAGCAGATGACAGGACCATTAAGGTCGTGAGAGTACACAGAGGGTGTTCACTACAGTTATTCGACGAGCAGTTTCCGGTGGACTTGGTCCCTATTCCCCTGCGAGGGAATAAGGTCATAGTAGGCATGGATTGGCTGAGCCCCAACGGGGTAATGATTGATTGTGAGCTGCAGTTAGTGAGGGTTCACACTCCCAGTGGGGGAGAGTTAGTGATTCAGGGCGAGAGGCCACAACGCGGACCAGTTCTTTGTTCAGCAGCAAGAGCGAGGCGCTACTTCCAGCAGGGTTGCACCGGTTACATTGCCTATGTTTTAGATGCCCGGGAAAAGGGCAAGTCGACAGTTGATGATGTTCCGGTAGTGCGAGACTACCCGGATGTATTTCCAGAGGATTTGCCTTGAATACCTCCCGAGAGACAGGTCGAGCTTAGGATTGACCTGATTCCTGGTGCGTCTCCGATAGCCAAGGCACCATATCGGTTGGCTCCGCCAGAGATGCAGGAGTTGTCTGAGCAGCTGCGGGAGCTGCTAGGCAAAGGTTTAATCAGGCCGAGCAGTCCGTCTTGGGGAGCATCGATGTTGTTCGTGAAGAAGAAGGATGGGTCGCACCGTATGTGTATAGATTATCGGGAGTTGAATAAGGTAACTGTGAAGAACCGTTACCCACTCCCGAGGATAGATGACCTATTTGATCAGCTTCAGGGAGCGTCTTGGTTTTCCAAGATCGATTTGCGCTCCGGGTATCATCAGATGTGGGTCAGGGATGAGGATGTACAGAAGACTGCTTTCAGGACCCGCTATGGCCATTATGAGTTTGTGGTGATGCCGATTGGGCTCACCAATGCTCCAGCCGCGTTCATGGACCTCATGAACCGCGTATGCAGGCTGATGCTGGATCGGTCTATAATAGTATTCATAGATGACATATTGGTGTATTCCAAGACTCGGGAGCAGCATGAGGAGCACCTGAGAGAGGTGCTAGAGATCTTGAGGAGGGAGAGACTTTTCGCAAAGTTCTCCAAGTGTGAGTTCTGGTTGCGTGAGGTGCAGTTCCTTGGGAACCTCGTCAACCAGAAGGGTATACTGGTAGATCCGGCCAAGATAGAGGCCGTGATGCAGTGGGAGGTCCCGAGATCTTCATCAGAGATTCGGAGCTTCCTAGGTTTGGCAGGGTACTACAGGAGATTCATCCAGGATTTCTCCAAGATAGCAGTACCGCTCACCCGACTGACCAAGAAGTGGGTGGTGTTTCGCTGGGGGTCTGAGCAGCAAGCAGCATTCGAGACCCTCAGGCAGAGATTGTGCGAGGCACTAATTCTTACAACATGTAAATTTTTGGAGTCAAATATGTTAACATTTAAACCAATTAGGCCAAAGATGTAAATTTTTACAACATGTGAAATTAAAAATTTAAATATTTCCATAAAACAATGTTATCGTTAAAACTCAAACGTTGGATATTTTTATCGAATAACTAAGTGTTCTGTGTAAAACAAACCGTATACTACATTTAATATCTACAAACGAATAAACAATACGATGCTTGGGCCTAGTATACCCATTCGTGCTTATTGGGCCTTCGTGACCAAATTACACGTTTATTGGGCCCAATAGAAACAAAACATGTTTATTGGGCCTTGGCGACCCAATTACATGCCTAATGGAACCTTATTAGCTTTGACATGCTATTGGGCCTTAGTGGCCCAATTGCATTGCTGATATGGTTCAGACTATTCTTCATATGCTCAATGGGCTTTAACGTGTCCATAGCATACTCGGCAGCCTATAATAACATATATGATTTGTGGGCCGCCGTTGTCCTTTCTCGTGTCTGTTAGGCTTACTTCATATTCACGTAAACATTAAACGATTTACGGTCAATGTTATTCATATTCATGTAGAAACAATCGGGATCTAGTGAGACTTGTCGGTTGGCACCAATAAGTGTCGGTCGTAGCCTGTAGTTATAATCAGAGTCTCCTGGAGGGAGAGCGAGAGTTTATGTATAGATCTATACGGGGGTGACTCCCCCACACCTAAGTTGTTCGCTACAGTTAGACTCTGCCAGTTTAGGGTGACAAAATCTTGATCAAATCCGACGTTTGGAAAAATGCCAAGACAGGAAAAATATTTATTATCATGCATGATTATAACGACTCACATAGAGATCGGTTACCTTCTCATCATTCTTGGGAAAACAATTGCATACATGGTGGCCATACAAAGTGATTTATGCGATAATACAAAACTATCATACTATTCAAATCGGAAAACATCGGGTTTTCCGGGAAACGACATTATTCTTATCTACATACATCAACTCCAATGCAAGGATAAATTATGAATGTCATTTACTTTTACATGTTTTGAAATCACATATATATACACATATGGGATCATCACATCTTTTTCGTAAACAGTTCTTGTTACAGAAAATATCGGATTTTCTGGGTTTGACAAACAATACCAACTATTTTTATATCAAACCTGCTTATGAACTCACCAACATTATATATGTTGACCGTTTTCAAAATAACTTGTATTCTCAGGTAACCGGTAAGCTGAAGGAACTATCAAGTGTATTAGAATACCGTATTTTGTGACTTTCAAACAATTTATATTTTGGATATGTAATATGCATACAATGTACTGATGTAAACAATGTTGGTTGTACTATGTAATGTTTGGTAATTATTATGTTGTGTTTCATTTATATTCAGTGTGATGATATTTCAATTTAAGTCACACGAGCCCCCGGACTTTTCCGCCGTCTGGTTCGGGGGTGTGACAACACCTCCTAAAATGTTTTTTTATAAATATGCTCTTACTTATGCAACTTTCAAAGGTGGTTTACTAATGGGATCACTTTAGTGGCTTTACTGTTTAAAAAGATCATTCATGGTTTGACTGTTCAATCTATTTTTTGTTTATGAGCATGCTTGCTAATAGATGATACTCAAGCCTTACCAATTATAAGCCACCTGCTTATTCTGTTAATTGGAAGAAATAACAAGGTACTTTCATTTATTTGTTTATACAACATCTATTTTTCAACATTTTTTTATAACTATTATCATTTTTTTCTTCTTAGGCATTTTACTTAGAAACTTTACCCATTTACATCCCTGTACTTCCAAAAATACTTCCAAAAAATTCTAATAATTATATTGTACTTTGAAAAAACTATTCAACTACTAGTGAAAATAGATTTTTCCTTGGATAAGATCACTATAGTCGGGTAAATTTGTGGAAATATAAAATTTTGTATTTAAAAAAATATCAAAATATATTGTTTTGATTAGGTATTTTTTTAAAACAATGTGTTTCCTTCATTTTCAGTGTATGTGTGTGTGTGTTTAAATTTTCGAGCTGTTGTAAGTGTGTGTGTGTGTGTGTGTGTGTGTGTTTGTTTAAACTTTTTAGTTGCGTGTGGATGTGAATGGCATAGTTTCTTTTAGGACGGTGAAGATAGATATGGACTTGGGAAAGATTGGAATACTCTGAAACTTCCTTCATCGGGTAAACTTCACTCCTCATGATTTTTTAATCCCAATCTTGCCCATGTTTCAAAAATCATCTAATCTGCCATGGATAATTAAGTTTTAAAAAGAATTTGAATGACATTTCAAATTACAATGCTATAATTGTGTCTGAAACTGTCATGTCTCTTTAAGCCAAATGCGACATACATTGTGTTTATTTATCTTTTAAATACCTCTTTATTGAGTACACTACTTAATTTAGTGCCGAAAATGTACAGTAAAATGTCGTAATAGAAATAAATGGATGTAGGATGCTATACTAAACAAAACATTCAAAATACTTTGCTATTTCTCGAATTCAATCTTGTTTCTTTTTAGTTAGAGGACAGTTCTCAGTTTTATTTTGTATTAAGTGTTGTCTGGATCTTCTTATATAGACTCAATGAACTGTTTATACATGACTAAATGATCATTTTACCATTTCTTTCTAGAAGTGATGCTTAATAACATATACATGGTTCATTTGATAATTTTTATAAACTAAAACTATAAATGACAAAAAGTTAAAACATATTGAATACTTAAATAAAAAGCACATGTGAGTAAATACTTGGTTTATAATGCCATTTTCTTTATGTTAGGCATGTATGAAGAGTTGAATCCTAGAAATTAAACTTAGCCAATTTTTGATTAATGATTGAACGATATATGGGTAGATAACCTGCAATTACTGTTTGTTGGTTGAGGTTTTCAGTTTAGGAAGATCTACAAAAATATAATAATATAGCATTTTTATTTGTGTGTACATATTTGTCTTCATTTTATCATTGACTTTTTCATGTTTCTCCAAATGAAAGAATATGGAAAGTATGATTTTTTACAAATTCTATGATGTTTTAATATTCCAACAAATATTTACAGATTAATGTTAGTTTGTGGCCTTCTTGACTCATATTGTGTATTCTAGGTTTACGTTAAAGTATTTATTGTTTATAGTTAGAGTATTTAAGATTGAAAACATGGTGTGATTAGTACTATAAAGTTTATTAAAAAAATATTATATATAAAACATTGGTTTTCTTTTATTATATATTTTGTACATCATAAAAGATATAATAGTTAGATTATTTAAGTTTAAAAATATGGTATGATTAATATTATTAAATTTTTGTTAATAAAAAACCATTATATATAAAACGTTAGTTTTGTTTTATCATATATTTTGTACCTCATAATATATACTATATTCAACAACAAAATGTAATCTTTTTATATAAATGACCGTACAAAAATCAAAATCAAAATCCAATATCTAAAATTTTCCCAAACGGTAAATCTCAAACATTAAACTCCATGCCTTAAACCATAAACATTAATGCATGTCACAACATCTCTACAATCACAATCCACTTAAAAACCTCACAATTTGCGATCAAATCTGCATTTTCCATTACCTGATATGGAATATAAGATGTTTATAGAAGAAACTTATTCACATTCGCCACTTATATGACAATTTGTGACTGCCTTAATTGTACAGATATTTGCAGATTCCTTCACTAAAAAATTATTTGCCAAAAAAACAATACTCACCCCTTCCCCACCCTTATGGCTGCTCGTCGCATTGCGCGGGTAGAAGGCTAGTATAATAATGATGAGTGTTCAACTATTGCCTAAAACAAAAAATATAAAAACCTAAAATTAGTTTGGTGTATTGCCAAGATTGTTACTAGATGGTCTCATAACTTCTGATATTTGTGCTTGCATATCTTTCCGTTCTTTCTGTTCCATTTCTATTTCCTTTGTAAGTTGGTCTTGCATATTTTCTCGTTCTTTTTGTCACTTTCCAATTGGATATTTAACTTCCATACCTAAAAATTTCAAAACACATATATACTTAGTCGACAAACAATATATAATTAGAAACAAATTATTTATATTAACTTTGTTTTATCCGTTACAACAATATACATTATAATTGTACATAATATCAACACACTTTACTTTCTTTATTTTACCAATATAGGGAATATACTTACATTTTTATCTACATCTACAATAGTAACATATTGATTGTTTTTAGCCATAATAACATCATATTTTAAATTTTTATGCACGCGAATAATGTAATTAAATGTTAATGGCAAATTTTATTTTTTATCCAATAATAGCAACACATTATTTTTTTTACACACTAGCAAAAAATTATATCTTTTTAACCATGATAACCAACATAATAGGTTCTTTTTACCAATATATCATATCTACTTCTAACTTTACCAATAATAGCAACATACTTTATTTTCCATCCATGATAGCAATGTACTTGATACACATTTTGTTTTTATACATAATAGCGACTCTATTTTTAACAGTAAAGATGTGCTCATTTTTGTAAAACTCATCCTACTCGTCCGTGTACTCAGAGAGTAATCTAATGAGCTGAACTTGGTCATTGACCGAAGCAATTTGCCAAATTACGTCGAACCAGCTTGGATCCACTCGGACAAAACTCGATCAAAAGGTCAAAAGTTGAATTAACAAGAGAAAACGTCAATAATTTTAAGCTTAATATACCGGATAAATGTTCTTCATATGCTATTTGACGTAATTTCTACTTCATGTTAAAATGTTTACTTTTTAACTAGTTTAACAATCTAATATGTAAACTTTTATTATTAATTCCATATTCTTTTTTATAAACTTGAGTTCCTTATGATATTTGTCCTGTGTGTGTGTATATATATATATATATATATATATATATATATATATATATATATATATATATATATATATATATATATCGTTTTAACTTATATTTCAGCTACTTTGTTATAAACTTCAATGACTTTTTCGTTTATATATATACAATGTTTGCAATTTTTGTATAATTTACCTTATTGTGCTCCTCAAGTATTCCCCACCTAGGCCAAGTACTTACTACTCCTCAGTCGATTGAACGAGTATCGAGTAGCGAATTAATGTACTTGCATTTTATATCTATAAAAGGTAACATATTTTACATTTTAACTATAATAGCAATGTACTTTACATTTTTTATTCATTATTGTAGCAACACACTTTGTTTTTATTACAGAGGTGTGTTTGATTATTTATCCATAATAACAAAAATACATAATTTTTTAGTAACATAGACAACGTAATTCATTCTTAAAAAGTTAAACCAACATACTTTATTTCTTTATAAGAACTCAATGCATATATTAAATTAGTGTACCTGTTCTTGTGACTCTTTGTACTCAACGGAGGACATGCCACGACCCCTAGAGGGTGTTCCTGTTATCGCGAACTTAAGATCTGAGGATCTTCCTAACTCAACAGTTTCCTCCGGATGTTGAGTGACATCGTTCCCATACTTCTCAATCATGACTTTTTCATATGCCTCCTGAAATTTATCAAAACAGTATGATTGTTATTGAACTAAAAGCTGAGAATGTTATATTTAAAAAATGATAAATATAACTTTCATATTCCGCCCAAGACCCAACAATACACCATTCTAAGCTATTTATTTTGAACTTCCATTTCCGCGCCTACAGATGCATGATAATGAAATTTGTGATTTATTTGTAACTAAAAATATTTTCTAGATTTAGATATAATTGAATCGAAGTCAATGGCACATTTTTAGACACATATAAGGATAAAAATATATAAAACTGAAAGAAAAAAACGATTAGGTTTAAAGAGTATGATAGAGATATTATATAAAACTGAACGAAAAAAACAATTACGTTTAAAGAGTATGATGGAGATGTACATACGTATAGAGAATATTTATTGGGTGACACAGTAGTCTCGATGTATTTCCCTCTTGGAGTTATATTTTTGGAACCCATTCTGTGGTATGCCTCTTTAGACTTATGTTGGGTATAGATTGGGTTACATGTAAACACCATTTCTTTGGTATGCTTCTTCATATCTAATACGTAAACATCAACTTCGTTTTGAATGAGCCAATTTCCATTTCTCATCAAGTGCAGTAGCGAGTGACTCCAAAGAAAAAATGACATCGGGCCATAAGTTAACACCTTCGTCCAATCTCCATCTCCATCCATCCTCCATAACTCGATCATTTCATAACAACGTTAGTTTTCCATATAACTTCTATCCTCGATGAGAATAGCAACACAGAAGTGAATGCACCCTTTTAGAACCATGAAATCCAAAGAGCTTGTCATTTGATTTCCGAAAGAAGGCATCACTATCTCTGTGAACTTTTCGGTCTTTGTTCATATTTGAAAGAACGGAAGCTTGATGAAGAAAAATGAAGGAATAAAACATACCCCTGTGGTAGGAATGAACCAACGGCTTGAAAGATTGCCCGAAAATGACTTGTACGTTATATGCACAGAAGTTAGTTGTGGATTGACGATATTGAATGATATTTCTTAAACAATGAATGATAGGCGTTCACCTATAGTCTTGCGATGGGGTGGCAGCTTCCGATGGTCAGAGCGACATGTTGAAGCCCTTGTTACGAAGAAGAAGCCCAATCCCTAAATTGAACCCTAGCATGCATCGACTGAGGATTTAGAAGAGAAAGAAATCCAAGGTGTTAGGGGTTTGTAGTCGGTTTCCACCACGGATAGTGGCCTCTGCTTCTTTCATTGATTCCGACATGCTCTCACTTAGACTTATTTTCCACCTGGCATGCTCGAACACCTGCCATTCTCCTCTATCATAGTCTACGAACCCTAGTAGGTTCTTGGTGATCCTCTCGTTGGAGCGTTGCTTCAATCAACCATAAAACACTTCAATCGATCTATGGATTAAATCAGTTGAAACCCCTTCGTGTATTCCTTTAAACATCGAACACAAAATAGGAAGAAAAGGAAAAGTAGAAAAAGATGGTTGATTAGAGGAGGGAGGCAGTGAAGATCACTTCAATGGGTAATGGGTAACTTGAAGCAACACCGAAAATGAAGTGGTTAACCGATCATAAAATTGTTTTGGTAGATGGCGATGGCATCTAAGAAAGAGATAGAAAGAAGCGAAAATGAAGACCAGATTTGAAGTAATCCTGTGAGAAAGGCGGTGGTAGTGAAAACAATCAACTGGACTGAAGGTAATGCTGGTGAGCATACTTATCTTCCGCACGTAATGTTTTATTGTCAGAAAATATTGTGAGGTATTGTGAGGAGGTGCAAAGTTTAAAATGTGGCTAATAAGGGATGAAAACTATCAAAATGTTAAAGTTTATGTGACAGAAGTCTTAACGAACCAAAATACACTGTTCCTAAGAGTTATATATATATATATATAGATATATATATATATATATATATATATATATATATATATATATATATATTATGCAATGTGAATAAATAAAATATGTCTTCAAAATCTTATTTATAAAAATATCTACATGTTACCACTATTTACTTTGTTGACTTTTCCTTATAAAATAAATTTATATCAACTTCATATTTTATTATAAATCAAATAAACATTGTAGGTTGTAGATACATAAAATTTTAGAGTAGAATTTATACAAGTATGTTATTAAAAAGAAGGTTAATATTATGAAAGGTCATTTATTTTGGGATATTTTTATTTTTAAACCTAACCTTTTTTTTTTCATACGATGCATGGGCATTTACCTATTATCACATAGTATATATATACAATTAATTCCCAACACACTTAACTACACTTCCTGGTATTGAGTGTAGCTTGGGTGGTTTGGCTTGGCTTCAATACTACCAGTTGTGTGTAACTTATCAGCTCAATGGTGGGTACTGTGTCATATTTGTTATTGCCTGCTCCTACCTTCCGCTGCTGCCAAGCAGATACGGACAACAAATATCCACCACCACCTCAAATGGTCGATAACCTGATCTTCACCGTTATTGCTTCATTTCGATAGATAAAACCTTCCGACTTTGTTCCACCAATTTCTTGGCACCCTACACAATGTCTTCCTCTTCCGTTTTTCTCCTCTTTCTCACTAATCTGCTTTGTATCCATGTTCCTAAATAAAATTGATGTTATGGGATGAATACGATTCAGGTGATGTTTTACTGAGTTGTTGGCTATTGATTTCTCTTCTTCTTTACTTTTCCTTTTGGTCTCACACTCTTCCAAGTTCCAAACTTTGTCACCCACACCACCAACACAATTGCAAACAAAGGTTTGATTTCCCTTTTCTCACAAGTTGGATGATCCACAAGAAGCTTTGTGGTCAATATTGCAAACCGAGGGTTTATTTGCATTCTGATTTTCTTTGAGGAGGACAATTGTGCCTCCCAAAATTGGTTCCATGTAAACCCATCCCTTTTTCTGTACAATCGATTAAATTGGAAATATAATCAATTTATTGATTCAATGCATAAGGTATTTTCTGTTTACCTTTTCGCAATAAAGTAAATTTAATGAATTTGAAAATGCTTTCTATTGATAAAAATTTTATTCTTTTATGGTTATGTGTCTAGAGAGATGAGAAAACACATAAATGAGTTTACTAGTTGGTGTGGTGAATGTCAATTGGGAATGAAAAAACCAGGGGCAAAAGCGTTAAATCCTCCAAACTGTCACTAAAAATAGGATATCAGACTAAAAAACCACAGGTATCAACATTTCAACTCATAAAACCCAAGATTCACTTACTTTTAATGTATAGTATATGTCAAAAGTACATATAGCAGACTGTCACACCCCCAAACCGGAACGACGGAAACGTTCGGGGGCGGATGACGTGATAAGTAGTATCACAACAATTGCATAATAGTAATTAAAGCAACAACATTCATTGTATAGATATTAAAGTGTTTACATCAAGTTCAAAACGTTACATGTTTATAATAATATGATTGTATCAAAAGGTAAGACGAAGATCTACCGCTCCATCTTCACGACTCCAGTCTGAATACTTGTCATAGTAATTCCTGAGAATACAAGTATTTTGAAAGCGAGTATCAGCTATAAAGCTTGTGAGTGCATAAGATTTTGTTTAAAGAAAGTGTCTTCTTTGTTAAATGAATAAGTTTGAATGATCTACAAGAAAATCCTATATTTTCTTAATGTAAGTTGTGACTAAGCCTGTTATTTCTATAATCGCTTAGTTCATACCTGTTACATAAGATTAAGATTAGACGGACAGTCGATTGTGTGAGTCCACCGTAAAATCACATCCAAAGAAGGAAAATGAAGTAAAATGGAATTCACACATTCTCCAGTCTATCAGGTCTTCATCATATGTAACTCTGGAGTATAAACTAAGGTATTATAGATCAAACAATAATGTCATATAAGTTATACCGATTATAACTAAGTGTTGAATTAATATACATGATTTCTTAGTTGATACACGTTATAATATAATCAAGGTCGAACAGATAAAAGATTGTGGGGTTCTACATTAGTTCCACATCCAAACAAGGAAAAGGAAGTAAGTTAGAAATCTCACCTTCTATTGTCTATCAGGTCTTCATTATATATAACTCAGGAATGTATAAACTAAGAGATCATAACATTAACCTTTAAAGATCCTTTATAATGTACTAGTTTACCTAGAAGTGAGTCTGTTTATCCCAGAAAATCCTATATTTTCTGATGTAGTTGTTATGTAGTTTTAATTCCCTAAAACCGTTCTCTTTGAGTGTTGATGTACTATGTTCTTGTATAGTTAGTTTTAATTCACCATAAAACTATAAAAAGACTGTTTTCTGTTTGTTATGTTCATATATGTTGTAACTTGGTATGAATGTTAAGACTATCCCATGACCACTTGGTATATACATATTATATACTATCAGAAACAGGCAGACAATTGAATGTGTGATTCTGTCGTACACCCACATCCAAACAAGGAAAAGGGAAGAAAAACAGAGTTCACACATGCTATTGTCTACCTTGTCCCTCATCACATATAACTTTGGTGTACATGCTAAATAATCATAGGAACTACTCCTTAATATTGTTTAGAAACTATATTACTACGTAAGAATATCGTAAGTTTCCCCCATGTGAGTACTCATAACCATACTAATCCGACATATAAGTTGACACGACGCTTTGTAAACGCCAAAACAGTTTATGACTTTGTCACCCCGGAACTTACATTCCAACTGTAGCAAACAGTCAGGGTGCGGGGTTGTCAGCCCCGTATAGATCTATACACAAACTCACGCTCTCCCTCCAGGAGACCCTGGTTCAATAAGTTTAGACTTCCTGTGTACTTAGTTAAGTATACGAACACATGTCTCCAAATTGGGTGTGTTAACTAGTTCACGAGTAATACTATAAAAACCTTTTTGTAACAAAAGTTGTAAATAACCTTATATATGTTTAATATGACTGTTATCGTGTTCTGAACCCTAAATTATACCTATTATAATTTACTAGTATTTCTTGCTAAGTATGTCATATTTATGAATGCACTCCCTTTGCTCGACATGTTACAAGGAAAAGGAAATAAGGCGAATCATCAGTCCTAAGCCCCTTTAAATCTTATTTATATAAGTATATACATAGAAACATGATTTAAACACAATATAAGTTAAAAAGATTTTATAAAACATTTAAAAGTATTTACCATTAATTAAAAGAGTTTAATAACATTTAAAAGCATTTTCCAATATTTAAAAGAGTTTAATAATATTTAAAAGCGGATTGATGACTTGATGTCATTTAAAATATTTAAAGAATTTAATTTAAAGTAAACACGATTTCTTGTGTTTAGACTTGTATTCCCCCCTTAAAACAGTAAAAAAGTGATAAAATCTAGGGGTATGAACTCACCTTATGTTGGTGATTCAAATGGAGATTTGTGTAAGGATGCGAAGTTCCACGAGTGAATTCCCATGACACAACGAGTCCTAAATGACATATATTGATACATTTTCTTAAATAATTAGTGTTTAAACGACTAATCATGAAGGGAAACAACCTATGGGACTAAGGAACACTTGAAATGAAGTGTAGAATCACATGTGATTGAAGAAAGGGGTGTGTACGGCCAGGGAGTATGGCCCACCTAGTGTGTATGGCCGTACACACTACAAAATGGTGTATTTTGTGTCTTAATTCATAGGGCTTCAAGTGTTCAAGAGTTCTCAAGGGTAACAAGCAC